GGTTTTCCTCTCTAACCAGCTGTTAGCTTTAGCCTGCAGAACTAATTAATGGGGGTTTAACAGCTTCAGGTGAGATTATAATTGTTTGAAACTTCCTTCTTCATTTTGAAAAGCCTGACATATTCCTTTAAAAACATTCTAAAGTGTATTGTGATACAATTTTATTTTGTCAAATTTGGTTGCCTGGCAATATTGACCCAGGTGCTAAATGAAATATTTGAGAAAATATTGCAATAGGTGAGGAAAAAACATGATCACAAATGAAATCATAATTGTTATATTCAAAATTATGATTAATAATATTATTACAAATTGTGTTTTTACAAAATAGTGCCAATCTGAACCTACCAAAAACTACCACTTTGCTCAAAAACACAAAATAGGATCAAGTAAACATTATTACCACCAAATCATTTCTTGAATAACTTTGTTTAAAAATCTCCACCTGCATCAACATTATTATCTAACTACTTTTTCATTCTTTCATTTATAAAATGAAGCATTACACCATCCTATGTCTATAGTTTCCCTTCTTTAGCTAAAAACATAAACTTGTTTTAACAAGATTACGTACATGATGAGAAATTTTATTAAAGCCAGAAGCAAAAAGCAAAGTTCTGCAGGATTTACCTCCACATACTTTACCTCTTCTCGTATATCGTCATTTCCTGTGTGGCTTGACTATTCCCTTTTACCTCTACTCCCAAGGCGCAGAGAGCTCTGCCATAATGTGATCATCTGAAACATAATTCGATATGTTTTATACACTGGTGATTGACCGGTGCTGTGATTATTTGATTCTATGCCAAAGAACCCATCATCTCCTGTTTCCTACATTCTTTTTACAGAACCACAGTTTTCTTCTTGGACTGATCGTCTTGTTCAGGCTGTTCAGGACAAAGCAGCACAGAAGCATCGATGTACGGCAAACATAATTTTGCTAACTAAACTGTGTTTGTGTTGACTTAAGACTTGACTGGACCTTCCTGGTTGGTAAACAGACATTCACCACCAAATGCAAACATGGAATTGGACTGCAACCCTTCTATGCGATACAATGACAAAAAGAAAACTTTTAAGAACAGAAATTTGAGGGCTGACCCAAATTTTCCAACACTGGTTAGTATTTAGCTTTCCAAGTGAAATTGTCGTTTAATTCCCAGTGCTGTCAAACGAGATAAACGGGAACATAGTAGAAAACTATATCCATGACAGAATCTATGTGGGACGGTGTTTGTGCATGTGAAAATGGGTGATACTATTTGTTTTCCATGTTCTCCTGTGCCATTTTATAGCACAATCAAGCAACAATTCAGTTGATATGAAAATACTGTATATATCAAGCATCAAAGAAATTTGTCTTCGCAACTTGATGCCGTGAAATTGGCCTCTGTCTCTTTAAGAAGCTCCTGCTCTTTCCAGCACTCTGCATTGAGCCCGTCATCAACACAACGCATTTCAGTTATGTTGTCGTTTACAACCTTACTGAGGAAAGTTGTGCTGAGAAGGAGTTTGTATGATGAGCAAAGCAGACTCACAGCTGGTCTTAGCTTTCCAAAGTGCTAAATCACAGTTAATTTTTGATTTTACAGAAGGTGATATTTATTTTTCCACAAAAAGATAGTGAGTAATGGAATATGACAGATTGTGATCCCTGATCAAACCAAAATAACTATAAATACTGTTAGATATTATTCATTTTAGTGACATGGTCACATTTTGTTACAGTTGACTAGACTTGGAACAGAATATTGATAAAGTGGAATCACTGCCCATCAAATCTGAGCTGGATCTGATGCGCGATTGGCCAAAAAATTTTAATCTGTGCATCTGAACTGCAAATTACTGTAATATTTATTGCTGGACAGTTGTTTTAGAAGCTGGTTAGAATAAAAAAGAATGAACATACCTTTAACCGGGATTCATCCCTATGGATGCAGGTTTTGTAGAAATATCGTAGAGAGCCTTTTTTCCTTAACTTTGCCCACCAAAGTGGTAAGTTCCAGACTCAGCTTCTTACAAAATGTCACTGCAGAAATTTGTTCTGCCTCTAAGGATATTTTTAGGATTCATTATATAAATCTGATCACTGACAGCAGTCTATGGATGTCTTGCTCGGAAATCCAGCTTCTTCTGTCAGCGCCTGATCTGATCTCATAAGTGAGCTCTATTGAATATTAGTCAGTTTTCTATATTTTAAAGAAATTTCCATGACTCACTGGAGCCAAACTGTCGTACTTTTGCATCAAAACTGTCAATTTTAATTTATTTGCTTCACCTGAAAAGAGGTAAGGGATTGCCTCTTTGCGGATAATGTGTTTCAACGTGCATATAGGTTATTACCTTGTTAACAGGAGGTCTAGATTCAGGGCAGCCCCTCATAAATGTTTCAAGAAAACTTTATAACTGTGCAGGAAATGCTATGACCATTATTTGTTTTGGGGAGAGGGTAAAGCTAGAAGGAAAAAGTAATAACTGTGGGGTATTGTTATTCTCTAGTTATATTTGTGGACCAGTGACAAAAAAAAGACAGATTTGCTCAGTTTTCTAATTATTTACAATAAATGTCACTTGTGTAGGAATTAATTTATTAGCTAAGGCTTGCAATCATGATGGCAAACATAAATAGCAGATATTTTCTGTCAAGTTACGCTTTTTCTTCCTTCTTTTGCCAATGAAACGAAGCTGTGACGCTTTACCTCAGTCAGTTTAAGTGTTCAGTTATCCCAGGTGTCTGTATTACATTTTTCTTCATCCCCCCTCATCTCCATACGTCATGGGTTTGCAGTCAGGATTTATTTAAACATCCATTCCTGTAAATCTGGAGAAAAATGTATACATGGGAATATTATTTTTTTATTTTTGTTTTTAGCTAAAGAAGGATTTTTCACAAGAGTTTTAAAATAAATAAATAAATATATTTATTATAAAGGTCACACAATGCACCATGTGTAGCTTCAGGATGCTGTATTTGGGTATTCGTTGTGGTCTCCGTTTGAACAGCCATATTACTCTCCGGCTGCGAATCGACATTACAGGGGTTGTCAGGACAACCAGCCATGATTCAGGGAGCCGCGGGTAGGCCTCCACCTTGGGGTGGAAGCCTTAGCCGTGAGCCCGAGCAGATGCTGGGACTGTCAGCCAATCACAGGTGAGACATAGGAAAAAGATGACATCATAGGCAAATGAGGACAAATGTGGAAGCTATAGTGGTTGCCGTGTCCGCCTGCTTACAAACACAACCACCATGGACTGATGTTGAATATTTCTGCTTTTTACCTTCCACGATATAAAAGAAAATCCACATCATACATGACAATTTTAGAGCAAAAAAAAAAAAACTAAAATAAATATTTTTGAATGTAGTAATAAATCTGAAGTCCAAGCCAGAAGGTTTAGATTAGAGATTTCATGTTCACAGATTTTTGGTCAATTTCAGATCGGTAGCTCTTGTAAAGCTACAGATGAACCCTTCAAAATATTTCTTTTTAACCCTCCTGCTATAAGGAGCCAATCATTTTAAGCATGTTATCAATATTAGGAGAAGATGTGACTTTCTTCCTTATATGTGTGTGTAGTAACTGTAAAAAAGGGTCCAACTAATTTAAGGCAAACACAACCAAGTGGGTCTCCACACTTCTTAAAAACCTTAATGTCAAATATTAGCAATTAGGCCAATCATCATGATTAATATTAACAACTATGAACCTCCCTGTCTGTACAGTTTTACTACTCAGGTTTCCAAATGCAGTTTTCCTTCAAACAGTTTCCTATGTTGTGCCTCCTCTGACTGTATTTTAAACCCCTGTATTGAAAATAAGTGATTTTGAGTTTTCATCACACACTGACTTCCACATCCCCCCTAAGATGTGACCTGACAGTGCTAGGATTTGATATTTAAGTTTTGTACCATCCACAAATAATTAGTCTTGCGTACAGTTTTGACTTGTCCAGTTGTTGCTATTTCATGTGTTTTGAAATGTCTCTTAAAACCTTAGGAATAACTTTTAGTTTTTTTTCTGAACGTTATTGAAGTTATTTTTAAATGCATTATTGTTTTACAATAGATATATGCCAGTTGTACAACTCAACCAGAAATACTCAACAAATCAAAAGTTTGGAAGCAAAGCCAATGCAGAACAAGCATTTTGAATCAATTTCAACTTTTTGCAAGCTCAGAAATGTCTGTGTGATCAGACATTACTCTCTCTGGTTTGTCTTTCAGATACACAGTGATTGTTTTTGACAAGATCAAAGAAGGGCTTTATTTTTGATTGGCAAGAATCACAACTGTGGTGCAAAAACACAAAAAACATGACATTTTGAACAGCATAAAGCCAGGGATAAATTATTTTGTAGAAATAATACTATTAGAAAGAGAGATCAATATACCTGATAATTATAGTATATGATGTGATAAGTGAGTTTTTATGTAATAATCAGTAATTTGTTTTCTTATACTGTCTTATACTCAGAAATGTAATACTTATTTTTTATATTATTATTTTTATTTATTTAAAAAATGATGTAAGTATAAAATCACACACATGGACAAGGAATGTAAAAGACATATTTTTATACCACAATAATCTTAACATTCTTGAAAAGGTGGAGGAAAAATCCCATAAACTCATAACAATTTTTCAGATCGACCCTCATTATTAAATCAAATAAAAAAAATGGGTTAATTAATTTTCCATTTTATTTGGGTTTACATAAATGCATCCATACCCACACACACTCATATGGGTTGTTAGCCTCAATTTACATACACGTCAGTGCTCACTCATATTTCTATATCCTGTGAAAATGACCTTAAACTGAAACTAATGAAAACTTCTCTGACAGCTGCGTGTGAGTGTGTGTGTAATATAACTAAATGTTTAGGTTACATTCAAAACTGTAAAATCTAAACTCAACTCCCTCCTGTTTCTCATTTACAAGTTTGGTCTGTTAAACGGAAAACCAACCGCGTCTGCCCTTCGGCTGTCTCCGCCCCTGGACCTGCTGCCCGTATTAATATTCAGCCCTTCAGCCAATCAGCCGAGCTGGGTGGATGACATCACGGGCTAGGGAACAGCGAACAGCCAGTGAAGCATCCAGCCTGCCGAACAAGCTTTGCTTTTAGGGTCAGGAACTGGTCTGACAAGAGAATGGCAGTCCTGCCTTTAAACCGTCACTAGGACTGTACGGCTGACGATGAATCCAGCGGGACTCCAGGCCCAAAGGCGAGACACCGAGCAGGAGAATGTGAAGACATATTTCAGGTAATTCCCTCTGTGTGTAATGCAATAAGGGATGTGGAAGCGGGGAGCAGAGGAGAACTGGAGGAGGAGGGGAGAGGCTGTGTACGTAGGGGTTGCTTTGTAGCCTTCCTTTTTTCTTCCTGCACTCTGCATTCTGGCCTGCTAATCAGGCAGCTGTTTCCTCAGCAGTCCTTCTCGTGTCTTGGGTTGAGATGGGAATAGATGGCCCCGCTGGAGGAGCTGGATGCGTTTTGTATCATCTCACACTACCCTGCATCGCCTCACCTCTGTGTGCCCTCCTTTACACCTCACAAATATAGCATCCTTATTATTACTTGGAATCAACGGTGGCATTTGAGCAATCCTTGTGTCAGTGAAAGTGTGTGTGTGCGTGTGTGTGTGAAGTGCAGCAGCTGCAGTGGCTAGAAAGAAGCAATGCTATTTTTGGGAGCTGCTGGATGGATCAGAGCTGTATGTGCTGATGTGGATGGGCTGGAGATGGATGGTTTATGTGCTGATGGATGCTCTTTTTGTTTTATTTATTTTTTTTTTTATGTGAGCTCTCCTCTGCACCGCCTCACTTATGGTCTCTGGGAAGGGATGCACACACACTCGGAGACGCGCCTCCGTGTCCTGGCTTCAAACATGGTTGTGTGCAGCAGCAGCAGCAGCAGCAGCAGCTTCATGGCGGCTGTAGTGACAGGGAGAGATATACAACATCTGGTCACCTGACTTTACTGGGGACCGGAGTGGGGGTGGGTTTTGTGAAAAACCGAGCTGATCTATCTCGGATTCCTCCCCGGCCGTCATCAGCAGAGGAGGATGGAGGAGATGACTGCAGAGCCAGCTGAATCTGTCTCCCCTGCAGCCTCTCTCTCTCTGTGTGTGTTGCAGTGGTTGTGTCCTGGCCGCCGGCGTGCAGGGAGTGGGAGATTCCTCTCGCAGGAAGCGCAGTCATCCTGAGCAGGAGCAGGGCCTGATGGGAGACCTGTTGTCTGGTGTGAGGAGAATATTAGGGAGTCATGTCAGCGACTGAGGGAGCGCCAGATGATCATAGAGGGGAATTGGGGGATGGGTTAGTGAAGGTGCTGCTCTCTTTGAACATTGATCTCCCTTACACTTCTCTCCCAGAGACTTTGCCCTCTAAGCATAATTTCTCCTGCTTAATACTCGTCATTTATATAAAGTAGAAGCAACCCATTTGCATACTCTGTACAGAAATACATTTAGCCATATTTTTCTCACTTGTATCAGACTGAACTTTACTTATTTTCCATCAGTGGGGATTACCAAAATGGTTAATATTTACTAAATCCCAGATTACTGAGAAACTTTAAGCATTTTGTGAGTGGCCATGTGAGGATTTCACAGCTTTGTAAATGTTTGAGTTAAATGGATGCAAATCTGTGGATGTATTTGAAGGCAACACCTCAAACACTGCTTCCTCATCTGACATCATGGAAAAATCAGAGAAAATAAAGCAAGTAATGAGGAAGAGAGTTTTGAACCTCCGCATGTTGGACACAGTGATCTGTTCAGCCATCAGACTGTCCTGTGTCATAGAAATAAAAGTGTTTTGGTTTGAAATGTGTGTTTTAGCCCCAGGGCTGTCACAATAACACATTTTCCTGGACGATAAATTGCCCCCCGAAGTTATTGCAAAAAACGATGATGTTGTTGTGCTTAGACCATTTTCAAGTTATAATAATGCGAGAACACATTCTTACAGATCAATAAACTTTAAATTCTGATGAACATTTAGCACTGGAACTGGAAGACATTTTAAATATCCACTATGAATAAATAATAATAATAAAAAACAGAAACAAAAAGTTAAATGAAGTCTGTGTTAACAAAACTGTCCTTCAAAATAAGGGCTAGTTGAAACCAGATCACCAGACCGAAGACTTTTATCATCCAGTTTTTGGCAGAAAAAGAGAAAAACGATAAATTATGCAAGTGAAAATTATTGAGTTTGTTTTAATTTGTCATGCGATTAGTTGATTTATTGATTATTGTGACAGGACTAATTAACCCCAAAGCAAAAGCTCTTGTGAACATGTTTGCTGAAAACACTACAAGCATGTCATTATCCGCAGTGAAATTAGTCAAGCACCAGCATTGACTGAAAAAGCACTCAGCTAGGAAGAAGCCATTGCCTGAAAAAATAACCAGATTAGAGTTTGTAAATACACTACAGGATAAAAACCTTATTTATTAGAGTATTTTGGTCTGAAACTAAAATTGAAGTGTTTATCCATTATTTGTAGAAAAAAAGAGGAGAAGCTTGCTAGGCTATGGACTTGGCAGCATGGATGTTTCTTAACTTACACTTATTATCCAACCCAGACATCTTCAGTGCTGCATCACTGGATCATTGGGTGGTTTGGGTCTCACCCAGTCAGGGTTGATCAGGCCCTGGCTTGTGTCTAATAGTTTGTGTGCACCATATAGATGGCATCATGAAACCTCCCCACCCCCCATTGTGGTGCTAAAAATGCACCATCAACCACAACTAGTTTGTGGAAAGGAACCAAAAACAATTAACTCAAGTTATAACACTTAACGCATTTTTAACAAATATAAAGGCAATACGTGTACAGTTAACAATAATTATCTCATTAATCTTTAATTGACCAAATATAAATAATGAATTAGTCATAACAACTGACCTCCAACAACAAAGGTTTATTCTAGAGGTTTATCAGACAATAAGAAAACACAAGGCTTTGTGTCTTTTTATGTCTTATACCTAAGCACTGTGTTTCAGTGCAGCTCTTTATCCTGCTCTTAGACTGACGGAGAAGCAGCCACTTCAGTTTTGTCAAGCTACTGAAGGGTCTTAATCAGAAGACAGGTCGACAATCAGTCAAAGTTATGGTATGCCATTAGAGCAGAATTACTCTGTGCTTATGCGTCCTGCTATTCAGCGATCTGTGAGGCTGTTGCTGGATAATCAGTCTCCATTGCTCTCCTGTGATACTCCATATGTCACTTTCATCATACTCTCATCACACCTTTCTCTATAGGAGTCCGTCACGAGCAAATTGGCTTTTGTCTGTTCGGTAAAAGGTTGTTCTGAGTTATTCTGCATGTTAAATGCGCCTCTCTGGAGAAAAATGAAAGAGACTCATCTCACAATAGATGTGTTTATTTATATGCTGGAACTAAAATACAGATACAGTCGCGACCCCCAGTGTAGTGCTTGTGGTGAATATAGATCGGTTTATTGTGGTTTAGCTTTTCACGCTAATGTTCAAAATCACTTTTATGGTTCAAACAAGTTTAAGTACATAAAACTATTTCTATAGTTTATCATAAATGTGTCGTTTTCCTTACTGCTTGACTGGAACATTTTTTAAATTTTTGTTTTAATCTATTATTTCGGCTCATGTCATCTAACCTGAAGTTTTTAAAACAGCTAAGCTAATGAGCTAACAAATAACTGATGTGACGCACAATCTAACAGTTTTTAAGCAAAATAGTTACTTGATACTTATTGTCTTATTAGCAACAATATGCTTTTTATTACAGTTAAGCACTTCTTTCAATAAATTTAACAAATTCTCTATAAAAATACAAAATGTTGTTCCATTGTATCAGGTGTTTTATTATGCTTACATCTATCTTTGTAGGTATAAATACAATGCAAAACCATACATTAAAACCCAAGTGATGCTTATAGGAGTTTTTTTCTATTTTTGTTAAATGCATCTAGTAAAGAGTTTAATAAAGGCAGAATAATTATTTTCTAAAATCTGTTTCTTGAATCACAAATTAAAGGGTTGATAAAAGTTGCGGTTGGTTGTCCCGTAGTTTCCTGCAGATAATGTCTATCTACAGATAATAATTTTTGCAAACTAAATTTTTTTTTTCCAGCTAGATTTGCTTTCCTGAGTGGGGGATAAGAGTGGTAGCCTTCTTTCAACCAGCTGACCAGCAGTGTGCAGCTACTTATTTTTTTTGTCTGTCAAAAAAAAAAAAATCAGGTCAGCCTGAAACATTGTCAGCAAGGTCACCTTGCACTCTAGGAACGGTATTCTTTAAAAGCTTTGCTATAGGTGTTTCTTCTTCTTTGTTTTTTTTAAGGTTTTGTAACACTAGCTGCTTTTATTTGCTGTAAATTGCACAAGGAATGAGTAGAGAGACGGGGGAAAGACTTGCATCAAAGGCTTAAGGGTCAGGAATCAAACTCCAGCTGCTGTGGGGACTAGCGGCCTCGTACATGGGGCGCTCGTTTTTACCACTACTATACGCGCCGCCTGGACCAGGCCTATTTCTGATTAGTGAGTGCATAGTAGAAGTAGCTTCCAACTGTGCTCTATTTATTCCTAAAGGTATCCCTGACAACACATGGCAGAAGCAGGACTTTTTTTTTGTGCACTGAGACAATGTGCGTTTCTTTTTCCGCACTAGCCTCATTGTCTCCAGGAGTATTAGCCGTGCTCTTCTGGGCTGTCCTACGTTTTCCACTTGTCACCGTAACCCAACACAAGCAGCTTCTCTTACCTCAGCCCAGCTAACAAAAGCAGCAGACACAGTACCTCATCTTGGCCTGCAGCCTGCTAACTGGGCCGGCCTGAAACATGATATCGGGCCACAGAAAACGCATACAAGGAGACCTCCATCTGTTGAGGGCTGCGGTGCCGCCGTTGAGACGGGTTATCGTTTCGGGCTCTTGTTGTGGCCCCGCGTGCGGGTTGCTCCTTGTGTGTGTTTTTAAGGTCACGGCAGTTCTTGCAGTAGGTGTTTCAGAGCTCCAGTCTGTGTGTCATGGATTAGCATGTAGGATTGGAAGCCATCTGGCCATTTTGTCTTAGATAGAGGAGGGGGAGTAAGCGAGGGAGATGGATGAAGAGAGACAGAGGAAACACTCACACACTGACACATTGACACAGCTCCCTCTGTAATCTCCCCGCTTGATGTCTGTTGCTACTTACAGCAGGTTTACTTGCATGTGTGACTTTATGTGTCGCCTCCTCCATAGATATCCATGTCGCCTCACCTAGACGTTCAACTCAGGGACAGGACAAGACGTACGTTGGGGGCAGGGTTCCTACGAAGGCTGGAAAGTTATGCAGTTTGATTTCAGTATGGAAAAAACAATTTTATTATTTTCTACCTCATTGCCTAAATTTTTTATGTTCTTCTTTTCTTCCTTGCGTCTTCACTTCTTCACATGCTTCCTTCTGTCCTTCATCTCCTTCCTTTCTTCCCTTACATCATCTGTTCCCTTCCTTACTTACTTCCTCTTTCTTTCTATCTTTCCTTTCATGCATCATTCCTTGTCTACCTTTCCCTCATTTCTTTTGTTCATTTCCTCCCTCGTGTGTTTTCTCTCTCTTTGTCCCTTTCGTCCTTGTGCATTTATTTTCTCTCATTTCTTCCTTCCTTTCATTTTTACCTGGAAAATGTGTAGGAGCCCTTTGGGAGGATTTCAGTAGAAAGTAAAACCTGATCCAACCATCAGGAGACATTTTTGATTTTTAAAGGAACAAATGATACGTTAACTGAGGCTCAGAGGACTGCAGAAAGCGGCGTGAAGACACAGTAACAAAAGACAAAATATGTTAAAAGTAATTCTTTTGGAGAAGTTTTAAAAATGATGACTGAAAGATGAGCCTTTTGAATAAATCTGGTTTTTTGCTTATACTTTTTCCCGTCTTCTAATTCTGTCATAAATACGTTTGGAGGCTGAAATCCCTGATACTGTTTAAGATTTGACAAAAACCGTAAGAGGCTTATACATCAAAGGTGTTTAAAACCCCAGGTTTTAGACAAACAAATAGATCAGTCATACTTATGTCCATGTAATTTAATTAGTTTAGGTAGAAGGAATCCATTAGCCACACAACTGAATATCATCGACCCTGTTTCACCGTTTCAGTTTTCCCTTCTCTCTACGTTCAGGTGCCAATGCAGTTTGTAGCAACTGTCCACATCTTTGTTTATCCACTTGTTGACACAAAAATGACTCTACAAGATCTGCAGGCTTTTCACGCCCGTCCTCTGATCCATTACAATGCCCGTTTTAAACCTTTCAACTCGACTATAAGCAGGTGGACCAGCTGGCGTGGCAGGAGGGAATCCACTCCCCTAACCGCCTCCAGCTGGCTCTCCAACAGGCCCACCGACGCCACACTGTTAAAGAAAATACTCCACTTGTAGATAACGCAGTCTAATATGGCAAAAATATTTCTGGTGCAAAACAGGAAAAACTTCATTTTAAAATACTTGTTGTTGGTTTTTACCTGCTGAGTAAAAAAAATCAAGTTTTTGTGCTGCAGCAGAGCAACATTAAAAGTTAAAATTTTCAAACTTGAGTGCATTTTCTCACTTTGGAAAAAATCCTTCATACAATTAGGTGGGTTTTTTTTGTTTTGTTTTTCTTAGCACTGCTGCTAAAATAATCAGCAGTTTTGTACTTTTTAAAAGTTGATCAATATATTTATTTAAAATTTCCTGACCAAAGTGTAGATTTGATTTGTTCTTTTTGCTGTAATGTTTACAACCAAAACAGCCCATTTTCAGTTAAATTAATTTGTTTACAGCCGCAAAAGGTTAGATAACCCTTTTTTTAAATAAATATCTACCATAGGATGTTTATTCAGATGATTAAATTATAAATCATCTGTTTCCATGTTTTAAAATGAAATATATATTTTTTTACTTTTAAGGAGCCAGTGTGTAAAAGATTATGTTGACACTAACACCTTTAGTGTCAGTCTTATAAGGGAGGCAAGTTAAGATCTTGTTTAGTCAAAGCTAAAGAATGAAGTAAAACAGCAAATAC